GACTTCTTTGTAATTGTGTAATTCTGCCATGTGCTGTCTTAACTAGATTTCTTATTAAAACCCAAGATGCCTGCATAAAACAAGACCACTTCTTGCCCTTTTGCCAACTTACTCCTTCCTGAAGTTTGAGGATTTCTGTAAATCCCCAGTACTTCCAGCATTTCCTTTGTGATAAGTGCGTCCTTCTTTGACCTGTGGAAAGCCATTCATTTTTCATATGCAGGGTGTGGGTCAGTCAGATGGTAAGGATGCTGTGGTGCAGTCAGCTTCTCGTGGCAATCAGTCTGCTGGGTTATAGCACAGAACCAATGAAAATGTATAGTCATTGAGTGTTTAGTGTGATAGGTCAGCGAACTGAAGGAAAACCTAGTCTCGGCATGTATGCCAGTATATAAGAAGAAAGTTTCTCCTACTCATTCTCCTGGGCTCATCCTTAAGGATACAACAGAACTAATCTTTTTCATTTTGCCCCAAATAAACTCTATGCAACCTGTTACTGTATCCTTTACATCCTCCAGTATGATGATGGTCAGCAACCGTAACAAGCTTACATGTGCAAATCTGGCCAGTGGCAGGGGATTAATGGTGTGACTATAGAATAAAGCTTACTTTTTTCAAAAGATTATTAAAATAAATTGTCCTTTGAAAGAATTCCCACAATTTGTCACATTGGTCTCCCCGGGGAATGGAAGGACGTACCTGCCAGTTTTCTCCGTAGGCAATAATTTCTAATGCCTTTCTGAGTACTGAGGTTAAGGGATATCACAAGCTGCCTGTCTTTTGGGGGAAGTGCTGCTCCCTGCGAAGACTGACTGGTTGTTTTTAATGTATAGGAAAAATGTCTGTAACTTTCAAATGCTATTGAGAACCCATCAAATCTTAAGAGACCCAGGTTGTTCTGGAGATTTTATTTTAGCTTTGCTGTTTGAGCAGAGATTTGTCATCCCATAGGTGACATTAACTTCTTTACAATGTAGTACTCCGGACTGGTCTATTCACCCACGTATGTGCTTTGAAGATTGCAAAAGGGAAAGATGGAACAGCTGAAAAAAACCCCAAACAACAGTTTCAGCAGCATAATCTCAGTGTGTTTTCCACGTGCCATGTCAAACACCGCTTCAAATTAAAAATAAAAATCCCCCCCTCCTTCCTCCTCCTCCAGGAGCAGTCAGTCTTCTGGTTTCATTTTTTGGGCTTTGCTCAGCTTTTCCTGATGAGATCCACAGGCAG